TTGCATACACAGGTGTCAAGCACCCCAGGAGGTGATGGCGGCTGTGGCCACAGGATCCCGGGACTTTTGCCGGTCGGGGAGGCACAGCCGCTTGCGCCTAGCCACGCCCACGAACTCCCAGGACCTTGCCAGCGGAGAGCGGGAGGTTTGGAGGACTTGGCAGAGCAGGAGGCCTCTGGACATAGAGCAGAACGAGAGAGAGGGCGGCTTGGAGGGCGCGGCTCCCTCTGTCACCCCAGCTTCCTCATCACAGCTGTGGAAACTGACAGCAGGGAGGAGGAAGTCCCACCCCCACAGAATCAGCCAGAATCAGCCGTTGGTCACACAGCTCTCAGCGGCCTGACAGCCAGGACTCTCATTCACCTGCATCTCAGACCGTGACAGTAGAGAGGTAGGACTATGTCTAAAGAACACCTGTTGATACAACGTAGCTCTGCAGCCAAAAGATGCCGGCGTTATCGACAGAAAATGTCTGCAGAGCAGCGTGCATCTGATCCTGAAAGAAGGCGGCGCCTGTGACAGGATGTATCTGAACACCAGCTACTGGAAAAACGTCGCTCTGATGCTAAAAAACACCAGTGTTATCGACAGAAAATGTCTGCAGAGCAGCGTGCCTTTGAAGTTGAAAGAAGGGGGTGGCGACAACAGAATATGTTGAGAGAACAGTCATCAACAAGTACTACCAATATTCAATTCTTGGACATAGTTGTGGTGGAAAGACTGTTCGATGTGAATCTTGCCTATCACTCAATTTCTCGGATGAAAAACCATCCGATGGGAAATTTACTCGATGTTGTAGCAAAGGGAAAGTCTGTCCAAATGATATACATTTTCCAGATTACCCGGCATATTTAAAAAGATTAATGACAAACGAAGATTCTGACAGTAAAATGTCATGGAAAATATTTGTTCCATAAATAGTTCTTTTGCTTTTGCTTCCATGGGTGCAAATATTGCATCCATCAGGATATGGGCCATACTGTTTTAGAATACACGGACAAGTTTATCACCAAACTGGAACTTTACATCCTGCGGATGGTGTTTCTTGGAAGTTTGCTCAACTCTGTATTTTGGATACAACTGAAGCTACAAGTAAAAGATTAGCAATTCCAGAAAACCAGGGCTGCTCAGAAAGACTCATGATCAACATCAACAACCTCATGCATGAAATAAATGAATTAACAAAATCATACAAGATGCTACATGAGGTAGAAAAGGAAGCCCAATCTGAAGCAGCAGCAAAAGGTATTGCTCCCACAGAAGTAACAATGGCGATTAAATACGATCGCAACAGTGACCCAGGTAGATATAATTCTCCCCGTGTAACTGAGGTTGCTGTCATATTCAGAAACGAAGATGGAGAACCTCCTTTTGAAAGGGACTTGCTCATTCATTGTAAACCAGATCCCAATAATCCAAATGCCACTAAAATGAAACAAATCAATATCCTGTTTCCTACATTAGATGCAATGACATATCCTGTTCTTTTTCCACATGGTGAACAAGGCTGGGGAATAGATATTGCATTAAGACTCAGAGACAACAGTGTAATCGACAATAATACTAGACAAAATGTAAGGACACGAGTCACACAAATGCAGTATTATGGATTTCATCTCTCTGTGCGGGACACATTCAATCCTATTTTAAATGCAGGAAAATTAACTCAACAGTTTATCATAGATTCGTATTCAAAAATGGAGGCCAATCGGATGAATTTCATCAAAGCAAACTAATCTAAGTTGAGAGTTGAAAAATACAGTGGTTTGATGGATTATCTCAAATCTAGATCTGAAAATGACAATGTGCCGATTGGTAAAATGATAATACTTCCATCATCTTCTGAGGGTAGTCCCAGAAATATGCAGCAGCGATATCAGGATGCTATGGCAATTTTAACGAGGTATGGCAAGCCCGATTTATTCATAACCATGACGTGCAACCCCAAATGGACAGATATTGCGAACAATTTACAACGCTGGCAAAAAAGTTGAAAACAGACCTGACTTGGTAGCCAGAGTTTTTAATATTAAATTGAATGCTCTTTTAAATGATATCTGAAAATTCCATTTCTTTGGCAAAGTAATAGCTAAAATTCATGTCATTGAATTTCAGAAACGTGGACTGCCTCACGCTCACATATTATTAATATTAGATAGTGAGTCCAAATTACGTTCCTCTAATTAATTCCCTTTCAATGTGCACAAATTTCGTGCACCGGGCTACTAGTGGTAATTATAAGTTAAAAAGGAACATATATTTAGCACACTTTCTGGTAGATAGTAAATGTCCCATAACCATCTGGGCTATTATTATTATTCCACAATGTTAATACAGGTCCTCAATGAATTTTTCAAGTTAAAACAGTGCACATAGCTATAGAAATATATATTTATACATACACACACACACATATATATATACACACACACATACATACATACATATACGTGTGTGTGTGCACACCTTTGTACAGAACTTGGGACAGCAACCCACAATCAAACATATTCATACTTTTGCAGTAAAATACATCCTAAGCAAATAAAGACTATACTGTAACAGTTGCACCTCAGTTCACTTCAAGTCAAATGACAAGTAAAAAACACTAAATCTCCAGAGCTTTGGGGATTCTAAAACTGAAGAAAGGGCTATGAGACTATACTCACAAAAAGCACTGGTGTTTGTTCGCACAAGGCCCACTAAGTGTGCAGGTGACTGCAGTGTTGCCTGAATAAAAGTTGTCGAGATTAAGCAGGAAAGCTGCTCAGCATAAGTTTCCCTCATTCCCTCGAGCTGCCACAGCTCAGAAAATGTCACCTTGTTTGTCTGAGAAATAGTGTATAAGTTCTTGGCCAACGTGTAGTCATTTCCCCACATCCTTCTGCAACACCTGTGCCAGGCAGGACTCCATGCGAGGCTCCGAGGTGAATTAAAGAAAAACTCTACTTGCAAGTGCTATTCTGAAAAAACTAGTCAATCTTCAAAATCTTGGATTCCTCCTGGCAGCGCTACTACTCTCTTCTGTCTTCCCACCATATTCTGAAAATCTCCATTATTGCACACACCCAGGAGTCCTCAAACTACGGCCCGTGGGCCACATGCAAATACAAATATTGTATTTGTTCCCGTTTTGTTTTTTTACTTCAAAATAAGATATGTGCAGTGTGCATAGGAATTTGTTCATAGTTTTTTTTTCAACTATAGTCCGGCCCTCCAACGGTCTGAGGGACAGTGAACTGGCCCCCTGTTTAAAAAGTTTGAGGACCGCTGCTAACCATTTGCTTCTTTATCAGTGCTCACCCCCACCTAGACTCTGAGCTCCTTGAAGACAGGAACCAAGTCTTGATAACAATTGCTAATGTCTGAGTGTGTGTTATGTGGCAGGCATGTGATAAGGTTATGGTATATGCTCTCATTTAGTGCTTACAATAACTCGATCATCCCACATTATGGAGGAGGAAACTAAAGCTTGGAGAGGCTGAGAAAGCTCATGCAGTGTAGCGACTGTAGGTTACTCAGTTAACACCCATGGTACCTAGGTCCCCTGCCTAACCTTCCTAACAGGAGTCTGACACTGTTCACAAATTCCCCCTTTCACACGGCCACGGGCTTCATTCAGCAGAGGCCGGCCCCCTTCTTAACACAGGAGGTTAAGCATGACAGTCAAAAGCAAGCATGGACACTATCCATTTTCCAGTGATGCTGGGGGAAGCACGCAAAGCCATTCTGCGATGTAAAGTCTGCTAGGAGCGTCTAAGAAAGATTTCGTCTCAGGTGAAGACACAGCAGGCACTCTTCTTCCCTGACACTGTGGACTTCTTAAATTCTTAGAAGAAATTACTCTAATAGTAACTAAGTCAACTGAGTCTGTTTTTGGTTACGGTCAGCCAGAAGCACCCTAACACGTACAGAGAAAGAGAGGTGGGGCTGTGCTTCCAACATGCACAGGTGACTTCACAGCCCTCAAAAGTGTGATGACTCGAGTCGGACCTCTTTGACACTCCTACCTTCAGCACCAATGCCAGCAGGGAAGGAGCACTTGTTAACTTCAACTAAGTGAATAAACGGATGGAGTAAAATTTAAGCCCAGCTTTTAAATAAATTTTATATCCAGTTGTAGGTGAAATATTAGATTCCTATGTAACACTCTTAATAAGTATAAAGTCTGCTGACTCTTAGACCAGACCAAGGTTTAATGTATTTGGAAAACAGTGTATAGTATACTCAAGTAAACAAAGGAATACTGTAAGCACTAGTTTTCAAGTCCAAATAAATCTCAGAAGACTGGGTCAATGAAAAAGCACAAAAGATTCTGTTTCTGTAAGCCCCTTTCACAATGACTACAGCACCTATTGGCAATACAACCTTGACCCAAAAAGGCCACCCTCTTGTCAAACTAAAAGCATTTCATGGGAGGGAGAAGGCAGAGAGAGCAAGACACCTCTTCTGCACTTCAAGTCCAGCCCAGTTTTTATTCACGAAAACTCAGTCCTTGGTATATATGGTCAACCTTCACAACTCAGCTGGTCAGAGGACCCTGCCTGCACCTTCCACCGGGCAAGGGCACGGAAAGCTTTGGTTTTTAGAACTGAAGTATAAGCTCCAGGCCATCACACAGAACAGTCCCCGAGAAAATCAGGAAGACATTCCTCATTCAGGAAGGGCCACTCACCAAGGTATCATGACCCACCCGGTGCAGGACACAACATTCACTTCTACCCTAAGGCTGCAAATGCTTTCCAACATAAGACCTTCTCTTTACCGGTTCACTTGGCCTTCTCTCAAAGTGTTGAAAGATAACAATTCTTGATCTCAAACAAAAATCAAAGGAAACTCTACTTCTTCTAGAATGACATGTCTAGGAGCCATAACCTGACCAGGTATCTTACTGGAAGTCAAAGAATCATGCTGATTGCTCACAAATATTTTTTTCCTAAGGACCAATTCGGATCCACGAAGGCAGCCCAGCCACCTGGAGTGCCTTCTAATGCACAGCTTACCTTGTAATTGCTAGAGTTCACCCAAGAGGTAGCGAGTCCATCCACAAGTTTATCTAACATGGTCTGGTCATGCTCAAGGTCAGCAGACTTCTGTTTGTCTGAGAAATAGTCTATGAGTTCTTGGCCAACCTGCAGTCGTTTCCCCACATCCTTCTGCAACACCTGTGCCAGGCAGGACTCCATGCGAGGCTCCATGGTGAATTCAAATTGAGATGCAGCAAAAGCTAGAGGGCAGTCAGGGTGACACCCTCCCAGTTAGTGTACCCGGGAGGTTGCCTCTTTGTTCGCTGAAGGTTACTAAGAGCCTGTGTTTCAAAGATGCAATCCGGGGAATGGCAACAATGCACCATGTGTGTCTGAAGAGCAGCTGGCAGGATATTAAAAGTTCAATTTAAATAACTAGTAGACGATAAAGGAGTGAATGGCAGAGTGAAGTCCTGGTATTGGGTCTGAAATACTTCATAATTCAGCAGTCCATTCTGAAAAGTAAGAAAACGACAAATCAGCATAGATAATGTAACACTCAAATGTTATAAAACACTGAATCAAAAACAAAGCAGTTCATGCTGCAGAATCATTTATAATGGCAAGTGGAAATGAGAATCAGGAATGCTCGGCAATCATATCAGAATAACATAATCGTTATTTTTTTAAGATTTTTTCATTGATTTTTTAGAGGGAGAGGGAGAGGGAGAGGGAGGGAGAGAGAAACATCCATTAAGAGCGAAACATGGATCGGCTGCCTCCTGCACACTCCCTACTGGGGATCAAGCCCACAACTTGGGCATGTGCCCCAATCAGGAATCTAACCAGCGACCATTCACCCAACCAACCAGCACACGGGCCAGGGCCATGGTTACTACTGTTATCAGGAAGAACACTGAAGGCCCAAGCAGAGCCAATGGGCTACACAGTTGGTGGGTTGAGGTTTGTCACAATTTTCCAGCTTATAAATGCACCAGTCAGCAAAGCACTCTCTGCTTTAGCTGGCTTATTTATTTGTAGCTTAAATGTTGCTTCCCACCGAAAACTTAACACCATTCTGTGTCTGCAGCTTATTGCCTTCCTCTCAGTTTTCAAAGAAACCAAGGGCTGGATATGGGGTGGGCTCCATAGAAACACCATTGACCAAAGTGGTCAGTCTGGTAACATTGGAAGTCAAAGCCAGTCCCTACATCAAACTTCTTGCTTAGAAGCTTAACAACAGTTGAGTGGTAGCCTTCACACATCCCCTCTACAACAAAGAAAGTAATGAAGGAAAGGAAATCGGCTCATATTCTGATCAGTTACTGACATGGAGCTCTCCACTGGCAGACAATCGCTCCACATGGGCCTGGTACTGTTATAAAAGCAGGAGACCTCAAAATCATGTTTGGGGTAGGGCAAAACACATGATACAGGAAAAGTACCACAATCCTTTTCATTAAGTGAAAAAGCTGACCATTTAATCTACAGCTGCTGAAGCAATTGTACACACGTACTTCCTACATCAATTCCTTTCAATCTAACCTAAGAAGATCCATAGAAAGCCTGCCTTCCAGATGCAGCAGCCCCTGACACTGCTAAAGAGAGACGTTCTGCACAGCAACCCTGCACCAGCTCTCAGGGCTCCAGCAGGGAAAGCTGAGCTATTACACCAAGTAAGTTCAAAGGCTGTGCGCGGCAGCTCTTCCACTCTGCGCACAGTACTTCCTTCCCTAGCACCACCCAGCCTCATCCCCTCTCTCCGTACACGAAGCACAATGGTCTTTCCGAGTTCCAGAATCAGAGATTTTTTATACCCACAGGAATCATGTAAGTCAGTAAGGAAAATGCTCCCTCAAAGCCCCAGGTGTGTGCTTGCCCGACTCCTGCTTTACTGCTTCTAACAACGCAGCAGGCTGGGGACGGGGAATAAAACTCACCATCTCACATGGCAAGCCTTCCTCAAAGGGAGGAGCATCTGCTCTCCAGTCAGTTCCACACCCGGGAACCAGTCCCTCCCTCACAAGAAGGATCTTAGATACATAAATCAGCTATTACCCTTCTCTCCAATTTTTAGTTCAAACAAAAATATCTCTAATTCCTTAACAGCTCATAAGTTGGACTACAGAAGGTATCAGTGATACAGGAAACAGGAGAAACCAACAGAACCTTTTCTTTCCAGGCCCAGTATTAGCCCAAGAAGCAGAGCAAGCAAGGTTGGGCTTGTGAAATGGCCACAAATTCTTTGCTACTCCTCCCCCACCAAGGCGTAGTCTGCCACACCCACAGTGACTCTAGAACTGGTCCTGAGACTTGTGGCCAGCTGGAAATCAGCAACTGCAAAGCAAGCAGAGGTTTGACAGCAAGCACTGGAGCCCCCTCAGAATGCCGCCTGAGGCTGCCATGCTACCAGGAAGCTGCTCTAGCTTCCAAAACGCGAGGCCATGTTCTCCAGCCCACTTCCAGCCGCAACGGTCAGGCCTGAGCGAGGCCAGTTGGAACCGGGCAGCCATTCATCGGACTGCAGCTACACAAATCAATCTAAGGAGACCAGCAGAAAATCCACCTAGTCCAGGGTGGGCAACACCTGGCACGCATACCAAACATGGCACGCCAGTAACTTTTGCTGGCACGCAAAACCCTCTCTTATTATCTTCCATTTACAATTTTTTTTCTTAATATCGACTTTTTTTATTTTTCAGATAAATTCAGTGTAGGTGCATCTTAGATAAATAAATAATTTTACATAACAAGTTATCTTAAAGACCATAGACATGGATTGACGAGAGAGGGGAAGAGCAATTTCTATGCCTCTGCCTTAACTCTCCCTGCCTTCCTAGATCCAACCAGTGTTTTGGTTTCACCCCATACGCTTGTGAATCTTTGTTCTCAGTGATGAATTTTGTTAAGTCTCATAATAGGAGTAGCCTGACGGATGAAAGTAGTAGCTCGTGCATATCTCTGAAGGTCACAAGATATAAACCTGATGTAAAATCTGTCATCAGTGATGCAGCAGCAAAAGTCCCACTGATAATATCAAACGGAGTCATAAAGTTTTCTGTCAGACTATCAGTGTACATGTATACATTAAAAATAAATGTATTTTTCATCATCATATACTGTGTTTTTGTCGCTCGAATGTATTATTTCTTCAGGGTTCTTCACATACGTACACCTTAAGAGATATCAAGTAGGCGTAACATGTTCTCAAAAAATTAGGGTTGGCACGCAGAAGAATTTTGAGTCAGAGATTTTGCTGGTTTGGGCACGCACTCACAAAAAGGTTGCCTACCCCTGACCTAGTCAAACCACACCAAGAGATAATTGACCCACTCCTTCCTCCCCTAAACATCTACCTGTCATTCTCAATGGAAAGAATCCCATGTCCTTTACTCCTTCAAGGAGCATAAAATCAACCGGCACTAACCAATAATGATGATAACACCATTTTAAAGAATCTACCTGGGTGTCAGCTTCCATGCTGGACAATGTATACATACCATCTCTAATTCTCCAACCAACTCTATAAAGTACGTATTAATCCCTATTTTACAGATGAAGGAACTGAGGCAAAGGTAACTTTCCAAGGCCGCATGCCCAGTGAGTTTCCTCTCCCCACCTTCAAACCCTTGCTATTACGAGTCTGGCCTACAAGTCTGGCCTAGTTCTGTGCTGACTCAGAGAAAGGAGGTCAGACTTCGTGTTTACCTGGGAAGAATGGGGCAAGACAGCCAAGCCTCCATTCCAGGGAGAAAAATGATCCCGCTCATTCCAGTCTAAGAGTGGCTTATAATATATGTATAATATAAAAGCTCTCTGTTAGAATTCTAGCACACTCAAAAATTGGCCCCAAATTCCCACGGATCACATGCAGAATGAAAACCACTGGAAGCCCTAGGCATTGCACAGACTGGGACCCCATTTCCTCTTCTTTTTCTTAATTAAAAAAAAAAAGGAATGGACAATCCTCTCTTATTCTTACTAAACTGGATTTTGGTACCTTTTCCCCATGCTTTCGAACACTTCCTCCATCTCAGGTATTCAGGGACTACAGTCACACGGTCCCGAATTCACAGGGTACACAAGTACAAGACCTCCTTCCCACTGCTGCCCAGCCACCCGATTTCCCTGCCTAAGCAAATAATGACCCCTTTTCTGTGTCTTTCCACAGACATATTTAGATACATAAGCAAATAATTATGCATTCTCCTCTCGGAACCTCCCCCCCACCCCCAGGAAGAAGTTTCTAAGCATTTACAATTGAATCATAAAAAGAGATCGAAAGCGCCCGGCCAGGCCGACGTGGCTCAGTGGTTGAGCATTGACCTATGAACCAGGAGGTCACGGTTCAATTCCCGGTCAGGACACATGCCCAGGTTGCAGGCTCCAGCCCCAGTGGGGGGCGAGCAGGAGGCAGCCAATCAATGATTCTCTCTCATCATTGATGTTTCTATCTTTCCCTTTCCTTCTCCCTTCTTCTTTGAAATCAATAAAAATATATTTAAAAAAAAAGAGATCAAAAGCAAACTGACAAACATATAGGCAAAACTTCATACAGCAACAAAATTACATAAAGACTTTATATTTTAAATAATTCAGAAAACTTAGAAAGTAAACAGGAGAGGATGTGGAGGACTTAGAAAAGGAGGTGCAGGAGGATTTGGAAGATGACCCAGGAGGAGGAAGTAAAAATCTTTTCCTTCCACCCACATCCTGCCCAGGCCCCCTATAGGACATCCTGCCCGGGTTCCCTATAGGACAGGGGTTCTCAACCTGTGGGTCAAGACCCCTTTGGCGGTTGAACGACCCTTTCACAGGGGTCGCCTAAGACCATCCTGCATATCAGATATTTACATTACGATTCATAACAGTAGCAACATTACAGTTATGAAGTAGCAACGAAAATAATTTTATGGTTGGGTCACAACATGAGGAGCTGTATTTAAAGGGCCAGAAGGTTGAGAACCACTGCTCTAGGACATCCTGCCCGGGCCCCCTATAGGACATCCTACCCGGGTTCTCTACTAGGGAAGAGTGCAAAAAGGAAACTAAGGTCTGAAGTTCACCTGGAACCAGGAACCACAGCAGTTACCTATGGGTGAGCTAAATAAAAATGAGGTATGTTATGTGTAAGGCATTACTGAAAGGCCCAGGGACACAAGAACAAACAGGACACAGCCAGGGCCCAAGGTGAGCTTCTGGACTAGTTCATTCACGGGTGGGGTCCCGGCCTAGCCAGCAATCAGGGCCGATTGGGCCTGGCTGGCCAGGGGGAGGGATTGTGGAGGTTGGCCGGCCCTGGGAGGTTGGCTGTGGGAGCACACTGACCATCAGTGGGCAGCCCCATCATTGAGCATCTGCCCCCTGGTGGTCAGTGCACATCATAGCTACCAACCAGTCAGCCGGTCAGCTGGTCAGGCCAGTCGTTCGGTCACTTAGGCTTTTATCTTATCTAATAAAAGAGAAACATGCAAACAATAAATATTTAATCTAAAAAAAAATTTTTTTTAAAGAG